TCTCTGCTTTTCTGTCATCCCCGTTTCTCTACCGTCTGCCCTAATGACTGGGCACTGCCGTCTGCTGGTGGAGCTCACAGCACTCCCAGGCAGGGCTGTTTGGGGAAGTCACCACACCTTTTCCCCTCCCTCTCCTCCTATAGGGAGCTCCAGTGGCTCGGAGAGGCAGCTTTTTTGTTTCTCCCAGTCCACCACCCAACATCTGGGATTCTGAGCTACCTGTGGTAGCTCTTATGCTCAGACGTGCTTTTGTGCAGTTTGGGTGTTTTTCATTGAGTTTTAGATGTTCAGCTTATTGTTGTTTCAAGGGGAGAGATCTGGGGACATTTCCCTCTGTCATGTTTCTGACCTCATAATTGTTTTTTCAAATACACTGTTTCTTATTTATGTTTTTTGAAGGTGAAGTAGAATTTCAGATGTTTAGAGTGGGAGCTTTTCCATTTCCATTTCCCAGAGTTACAGTAATAAATTCAAATGTCATACCCGGGGCAAGTGAAATCACCATAGAAACTTTTTTGGTTTTCTCGTTTAATGTTATCACAACCCATCACCCTAGATACTTTCTCCTCCACAAACCTCAACATTCAAAATCACCCTTCTTATTAGATTAGGTTTTCATAATTAAACATCACTATTGATCCGGTATCTCAAATTTCCTCACATGAAGAATTCTTCAATATTGTCCATTGTCCAAAGTGTTTCATTGGAGCCTAGAGTGTCTCCAGATAGATCTAACATTGTGACAGATCTGGAAGGAGGACATTCGAGCTATTTGTGCTGTCCTATGAGAGGATCTGGTTTGCTCTTTAGAGCAAAGCTCCTTAAAGTCAAAGATGAATTGAAGGAGTAGGTGTGTTGAAGTGTCCTCATTCTGTATGTACTGACAGAAATGTGTTCTTTATATTTATAAGCTCTTTGTCTTGGTGATTCCGTTTGGCTTGGTTCCCAGCACTTTAAAACTGCATAAGTTGAGGGTTTGCCAAGATTATTTCTATAGCCCATAGCTCCTCTATTTGTTAGAACTGAACTGTTTTGATGTTTCTTTAACCTCTTTTGTAATTTTATTAACTTAGTAGCAGGCTTATCATGTTTTTGGGATTCTGATATTCTCAAATCCAATGAGCCATGGTCAGACAAGACACCATATCTTCATCCTCCCTGGCTTCAATTTGCTAGCAGTTTCTCCTGTAGACGTTTCTGCTTCCAATAAAAGCTACTCAGAGAGAGCTTACATTTTTTTTTTCGGAGAAAGACTGTAAACTCTACTCTGCCTGTCCACTATGGTAGCTGCTAGTCGCGTGTAGCTATAATAATTTAAATTTAAATAATTTAAAATTAAACAAAAATTTCAGGCCTTTAGCTGTACTAGCCACTAATGTTGTCAGTGGGTAAGAGTCATATGTAGCTAGTGGCTACTCAACTGGACAGATCAGATATAGAACATTTCCATCAGAGCAGAAAGTTCTATTGGACAGCCCTCCTCCAAACGTTCTCTGATGTTCACACTCAATTTACAGATTCTTGGACTCTCTGCTTACGTAGATCCTCTTTTTTCCAAAGTTGATGATGTTGAAGGTTTGCCTTGTGTTGGTAGGCTTTCTTTATATTCAATTATTTAAAAATATATCTTAGGGTTTATTTGGCCACAGAACAATGAATAGTATATTTTCATAGCTGCTTTTAAACGCATAGTCAAACCACAGAAGCACTGGTGCTGCCAAAGCCTCTACATTTGGCCATATTTGTTTTGACTCCTGTCCTTTTGTATGCCTAAAATTGTTAATGAATTCCCTTTCTTGTTCTAAGGCTAGATTCCACTGTTGGCCTCTAGGTGGAGTAGGATCCTATTTAATATCCTCCAGCTTTAAAGAACACCATTTTAAATTCAGATTCTTAACAATGGGTTATCTGTTTTTTTTTCCTTGAAATCTTAGAAAACTTCTGATGAGAATTAAAAACGCTCCACAGTTTTAATTCTCTACAGTAGTCTAATAAAAAAGGGAAAGGAAAGAGTTGCTAGATCATTTACCTACCGAGTTTCCGTATGATAATCCTCTACCCTCCAGAGGGCAAACTTCAAAATCTGACTCAGTGGTTAGATTTCTGAGTCAACACACAGCTTTATGACTGTACTCCAATGACACCACGTTAGGAGGAATTCATGGCCAAAGAGAAAATCAGGGGGACCTCCTCCTTATCAAACTTAAATCAATCTATTGGTTCTGCTTTATAAGCAGAAGGTAAAATGTTCAAGACTCCAAGATAACAGTCAAAATGATTTTTAAAAACTAAGTCCCTTTTAATTATTACTCAAGATAATATTAAATTAACTATCAGGCATTATAAGCACTGGTTTCTCAGTTCTCTGCTGACGAAGTTTGTTTGTTTCTTCTCAAAATCCCAAATACTGAAGCCTCTCTTGTCTCGGGCAATACAGACAATGAGATGGCCACAAAGTAGACTGCCTGCCTCTTTCTTTTTACCAAGATGATTGACAATGGATATATCGGATTGCACTTCTCTTTTCCTTTTGGGACACTGAGAGGTGGATTCCTTCTATTCTCAACCAGAAACTTCATAGAATAGAAAGTGTGTGTGATTTTTCATGGCAGTGAGTAAAAAACAAAAATTTCATATGAGAGAGTATTTCCGTTTGCATCTTTGGTTTGTGACTTCAGCTTTTCAAAAACTGCTTAAATGCTAATAGGATTCATAAAACATTTGTAATAATAATTTCACATAATAATAATAATAATGAAAATTATTATATGAATTTAGCTCTGTCTTCTGCAATAACTGATATTTCTAGAAAACTAGGATTTAAGAGTGTTTTCTGGATAAAAATATGACTTCTTTTGATAAAAATAGATACTCGTGTTATCTTGAAAATTGCCAACAAAATGGATGGTTTGCCCCTGTGCAGAAAAGCAGGTCTCACTGCTATCCTTTGAAAGGCCTGCTTACAAGGTTGGCCCCTGGATGGCATTTAGGAGCTTGGATTTCATGGGAGTGCCCATCATTCCCCAAACTGATAAGAATGTGCCTAAACAATTTGTACAAACAAAATGGTTTATGCTGACACTTGCTTTCCTTCCAGGAGTTTGGAATTTTGGTATGTGCCAGACAGAAGGTGCCTATGTGACCAGCCCCCAGTAAAAACTGTGAGTGCTGAGTCTTCTTTGAGCCTTCCTGGCAGGCAATATTTCATGAGTGTTGTCACAACTTGTTGCTGGAGGAGTTAAGAGTGTCCTGTGGCTCCAATACGAGAGACCCTTGGAAGCTTACGCCTGGTTTCTCTGGGCTTTGCCCCATGGGCCTTTTCACTTGCTAATTTCACCTTATCTCTTTTTGATCAGAGCCATGAGTACAACTATATGATGGGGTCTGTGAGTCTTAGTGAATCATCCAACCTAGGGTGGTCTTGGAGACCTCTGACACGGCCCGTTATTTGGGACTGGTATCTCATAATATTTAAAATCACCCCAAACCAACTTCTAGTTATAATTAATTTATAAACGTATTTCACTAAAATGATTTTCCATAGTGACATGCCAGATCAGATAGGAAAGGAAAACTCTTTAAGTTTGGTTAAGGTCTTGCTGTTTTTGACAATTGATATTAATCTATAAATATTGTAGGAATTAGAAATTTTTCTGATCACTGTTGTATAGAATTTATACTTAGGTGACACACCATATCATGAAATGACTGAAGCAAATATAACTTCTGTCTTGTTTTTAAACATCATTTAAAATGATTTACAAAAATCATAATAAACTGTATTCTAAAAGCAGACCTATGTCTGAAAAAAACTGATATACACATATCTTTGGCCCCTTTGAAACTGGGGAAGCACTTTCCACTGAATGACTCAGAAGGGAGGGAGATTAGGGTGAGGTGGTGAATGTAGAGTTGTGATAAGTCTACCTTTATAAGTTGAAGTGAACAATAATATAGGAAGAGGACTAAGTTATGCTCTTATACCTGTTATTTATAAATCTGAGCTTGTGTTGGTTTTTACTCTTGGAAAGCATATTCTTAATCATTGACATGCTTTATCTGTCCTATATGAATTTCAGTGGCAAATTCAGGCTCAGTGTTGGTTCCATCTGGGTTTACTAGGAGTAATGGTTCCACTCCTCACTGGTAAGAGCACAACATGAATTTGGACACCTACAATGAAACAAAACAAATTTTCAGAGGTCCATTATCAGTTACCCTCCTATTCAATAATAAGAATTGATCATCATCAAGAAGTTTATTTCTCCACGCCTGGGTAAAATAACAATGATATCTCCAGGCTCTTCACTGGACCCAATGGTCACCAAATCCTTCAGGCATAAACATGGCCACATGACCATATCCTTCCTCAAGAGGAAAGGAGGATCATAATATTGAATTTAGGTGGTTTATATTCCTCAGAAAAGGGCACTCCATAGACTGGAAAACTTGAGAAAGAGGAAGTACATTGAATAAAAATGTAGAGACTCAAACTGGTTTCAGGGCCACAATTCAGTCATAACATCCTTTTTGGAGGTGGGAGGTTGCTGGGCAACAGAAGTATCAGAATTACTCATTCCAAAGCTACATGTGATGTTTAAGATCAGTTCAGGAGCCCTGTGAAGAAGAAGAAGAATTAAAAACAATGCAAGCTCAGAGGCTACATTTTCTTTCCCTCGAGGGTCCCAGGAGAGAAAGAAATAAAGGGAGGCTGAGTGTTGGCCTGATGAAAAATGGAAGACAGTTTCTGGACTTTTCTTCAGCAATGGGGCAAAGTAATGCTCATTGCTTATACCCACCCAAAGATGAAAATGGGACCAAGAGTTGAGGGCAACTGGCTTAACTTGAAAAGGAGGGACAGACTCTGAGAGTTTCTCTTCATCCTCAGAGCACTTCCTATGATATATCCTGAACACAGAGTACTCATTAAATGCTCCCAAACTCATGTTGCAATGAAACAAATAGCACCCCAAGAAGGAAGAAGGAAGCAGAAATACCACCTATTGGCTGAGGTCCTTGTTGTCCTGAAATGAAAGTAAAAGGGAAGATGAATTCAGTAATTGAGAGAGTAAAGAGCAACAGCACCTTAGAAAATTATACAAACAACTGAATCTCATTCTCATGTCACTGAGTATCAAAGCAGGGCCCAATTTGTAGATATAAACCTATGCCAGGCTTAAAAGAACACCCTGAAGAGTAGGGTGACTATTCTCAGGTGTCTTACAGGGCCAAGATCTCAGTCTATACATCTTCCTCCCTACAGGGCTGTCATTACCTTATCAGAATCTGATTTCTGTGGCCTCATTTGCTCTGTCATTTTGCTCTTCTGTCTCAATTTCACCATGGAAGAATAGGAGAATGAAACAGTAGAAAGGCAATATCAACCACTTTCCAAAAGTTTCTTACCTCCTTGGCCTCTAAAATGGAGGGTGAAGCTCACCATGAGGGCAACGAGCCCCAGCACAAAGCCCCCGGTTCCAGTCAGCATCTTGCTCTGGGCAGAATCTGACTGTCCCTCTGGGAAGAAAAGACCCCAGGGCCAGTTTTACCTCCATGTGCTGCAAACTTTGGCCTTGTCTGACACCTGGAGCTTGACCAGTGTACCATGGGGAGAAAGGGAGAGGATGGGGCCAAGCTTGGAGTCACTGTATAGAAAAAGTAGATGCAGAAAGCACCCCAAAGTTCTGAGTCTCAGACTAGTGATGTCCACAGGAGGCAAATGCTGGGTTTAGGTCAGCCCATTAAGTCCAAGCTAAAGAGACTCAAGGGAGACTGAAGGGAGAGGCCAGATTCCACATCTGAGGCCAGTTATGAAGGTGATTGCTTTTCTGGGATTTTCTGACAAGGAGACATTCCTTAGGATCCCCCAGGGCAGGGATAAATACATGTGAGAATCGGCAGATCTCCACTACTCCCAGTCCAGACAGTTAGGGAGTTGATGAGGACACACGGGGTGGTATGACCCCAATGTGTAGTGAGCAGACTCCAGACCCTGGAGCCCAGAGGGTCATCAAGGAGTGACTCATTCCACTCCACAGTGACAGGACTGTCCAAGCTGGGGTATGTCCAAGCTGTCCATTGGGGTGTGACCCCAATGTGTAGTGAGCAGACTCCAGACCCTGGAGCCCAGAGGGTCATCAAGGAGTGACTCATTCCACTCTACAGTGACAGGACTGTCCAAGCTGGGGTGCTCCACTTGGCAGGTATAGACATTTTCCTGCTGGGGAGTCATTTCCAGCATCACCAGGAGGTGGAAGGTCCAGTCTCCATTATAGATCAGATTGGTGGACACAACCCCAGTGGTTTCCTCCTGTCCATTCAGGAACCAGTGAACTTGAACGTTGCCTGGATAGAAATCTGTCACGTGGCAGACAAACAGGTTGTGGTGCTGCAGGAGCCCCTTCTTGGAGGGGAAGACATTCACTTTAGGCTGGACTGGGAGTGAGAAAAAGGATCTTGTTATGACAGCTGAGACAACAAATGCAGTACATTTAGCAATTTTCTTGCCAAATTGACTTCTAGACGTTGAAGATGAATATATCATCTACTAAGCTATTTGGAGACAGAAAATGAGCAACAGTGTAGGAAAAAAAGAATAAAACATTTAAATGTCCCAAGAATGACGTTGTCATTACAATAAAAAGCCGAGAAGAATAGGAGAGGGTCAAGGCACTCTAGAACACTTTCATCAGAAAAGTATGTTAGTAACTAACGGTTTTTGAACAGAAATGTTGAGCCAGCTATGAAACTACCTAAATTTACATTTTCCCGTCTTGTTCTAAAGGATGCATAATCCTTCCAAATATCTTGGAATGAGAGTATATTCAGTCAATAGCATCCCTTTGATCTATCAGTCTGATATCCTCATTAAAAAAGAGATGAAGAAATGAAGTACCTTGATTTGTTCTTTATTTAACCTGTATGTCTCCTGGCCATTTCTACCAAAAAA